CTCCATCCAGGGATTCTAAGGGAAGAGTGGAAACGCCCGGTGATTCTCTTCCCATTCTCTCGTTTTTCAAGGTACACCACAAGGGACTGGGTGGTGGCACCAAAGCGACATGCCACACTGAAGGCTGACTCACACGGGAAGGTCCCGAGTTCACGTCTGGAAACTTCGACTAAGCCGGGCACACATGTGCCCATGATCCGGGGCTGGCTGAGGCTGGGGGTGGACGGTGGTGTCAACACTGTTGGGGGTGCTGTCCCTCTGTCTCTATCTCTCTTGTCCATAGAAAAACTAAATAATAAACTTAAAATGTATACATACAGCATGACTAGGCAGAAGGGCCACTGGAGATGCACAAAGAGAAAGCTGCAGAGACAGATACGGCGGTGAGACAGAGAACGCCCACTGATACCAGGGTCCGAGGCAGCTGTCCAGCATTGGCCGTGCCCTCCTCCGCCCTCCTCCACCCAGCTTGTGCTGATGCCCTCAGGCTCCCCTCAGAAGGCCCTTCAGTCGTACAACACTGAAGCGGACACCCCATGACCTGACCTTCCACCTGCGGAGTCTCACCATCTCAGGTAGGCTGTGTGTTTCTGGAGGGCAGCTACCCTGTCTTGGGATTGGGAGGGGTCCTGGAGAAACCTCCTGGTGAGGAGCTTAGGCATCCCAAGCAAAGGCCATTTGTCAATCAAACTGCTTCTCTCTGGTCACCAGATTGCCTAAGTCAATAGTCACAGGCCCTGAATGACACCATGGCTGCCCCAGGCAGGGGCTTGGGTGTAATCCCTTGAAGGAAAATTTCTGTGTAGGAGCCCAATACTGGAGGCAGCGGGCAGCTGGAAGGGTACCAGCGCCTCCGTGCCTGCTGTGGTGAGAGCCACACGGAGCCTGCACTGTCCCCTAGGCTGGGCCCCTCCCCTTTCTGCCCACCCCGGTGTAAGAGAGGAGGCAACATCGCAGCTCACGTGCTGGCCTGCTCATGGCCAGTGAGGATTGCATCTCTCTGATGTGGTCCCATTTCACGACCCAGCCCTGCCCTATCACGCCATGGCAGCATTCCTCCACGTAGGGCCCGTACAGCTAGTTCCTACTTTTGAAAACAGGAAATTAATTTCAAGCAGACCAGAGACTTTTCCGTCCTTTCCTGCTGCGTT